TTTGCTGGTTTGAGAGTTGAGGGACCATTTTTATTTTTTTGAGTGAATTGAGGGACGAAAAATATACTTATCCCTCTTATTATTTATCATGAAGTAAGAGCCAAGCTGGAGGTGGAGTTCGAGGCGGCAGCACTGAAAATGAAGCTGCCATCAGTTTGCACATGAAGCGGCGTAGTAAGATCTGAGGTGCTCGAAAAATTCGTCGATGTACCTATCGTGAAGTTCCGTATCAGCTACTACCGCCTGCATCTTCGCTGCACCTGCCACGAAGCCCCTCCTGGCCTCTTCGTCAACCATGACGGCCCGGACCGCTATCGCGACGCCGTGGCAGTTGAACGACCCGTCGTCCTAATTCCTCGCCACCTGCAACCCCACCTTCTTCGCCTCCATTTGTCGCGCGTTCGGCCCTTGGTCGCCGAAGATGGGCAGCATGACAAGCGGGTGCCCGAACATGAGGCCCTCGATCAGCGAGTTCCGACCGCAATGCGTCAGGAACCCGCCCATGGTCGTGTGCCCCAGGATGTTTACCTGAGGAACCCATCCCGTGGTCACCAGCCCCTGGCCGCGAGTGCGCTCTTCGAAACCAGGAGGAAGCATGTCCACGCCATCGTCGTCGAGTACAGCGGCACCGCTAGGCTTTCTCAGGGCAAGAGGAAGCGCGTCCCGGCGAGCTCCAGCCCGAAGGCCAGCTCGTGCACCTGCTCCACGCGCAGCGGCACCTCGCTTCCTAGGGTGATGTAAACAACGGAGTTGGGAGGCTGCGCGTCCAGCTAGCGCACGGTGGCATGCTCTGCTCCTTTGGCAGCGGCACGGCGGGCTCCGTCGGCTGACGGCGGCAGAAGGCCGAGGGGAACGACCGGCTTGCCGAGGAGCGGCACCGCCAGTGGGAAGGACTCAGGTTCCCACTCGATGCAGCTCCGCATGGCCGCGACGGTGCACCTGTCTTTTGTCAAGTTAAAGCGCCGGATGATGGACATACCCGATATGCCATAGTTTTTGTAAGCCGGGTCCATCACCTCCTGCTCGTAACAGGGAAGATCACGTGCTCCACGGTGCTCCGGTGGCAGGTGGGCGCGGTGGCGATCAACGCAGCGGTCGGGAGAAGCATCACGCATGGCACCTGGTGGCGGTTGGTGGCGTGGTCGGAGTTCGTTTTAATTTGTTAACCCTAACCCTAGCCCGCTTGGCGGCGGTTGGTGGCGTGGTCGGAGTTCGTTTGCTGGCGGTGCGTTGGCGCTCTGCCACCTATGTGCTCAGCCTCGGAGTCCTTCTTCCACGGTGCTTGGTCTTCAGCAGCCCTGCCGGACTCGGCGGAGCGGTGCTTCATCCTACTCCTTGATGGCGGCGTATCTCGACGGCGTGGCACGATGGAGATTCGGCGTCCGACGTGTGGTGATGGACTCGCGCAGGAGGACGAAGTTGTCTGGTGTCGTGGTGACGTTGATGGCTGAGTGGCCAGACAAGGTAGAAGCCTCAATATTTGCTCAGAAGACGGACCTGTGGAAGATGGCGGCGACGACACACGAGTGCGTCGAACCGGTTTGTACCCCAGACCCGGTATGTGGCTCAGCTGGGGCTTCCGACTTTTGATGTTAGGGTTAGGTGAATGGTCTGGGTAGTGGCCCGGCTAGCACCCTGTAAGGGCATATTTATTCCCAATATGTTTTGGTGATTGATGACAATGCTTGTGCGGACTAATCGTGTGCGTTAGTTCTTTCAGAGATTCATCCATTGGCACGAGACGATTTCCTCCCCTCGGTGTTGTAATTCAAGACGGTGTAGCTCCTTCGTTTCGTTGTTGGTGGACTAGTTTCGTAGGAGTCACCGTACTATCAAGAGAGGATCCGTTTTGGTAAGACTTGGGTGGAATCACACATACACATCATTATCACACCCGTCGTCTTTCCTTCCGCATCTCTGGAGCTGCTGTTTTCCCCTTACTATGCTCTGCTTTGCCCTAGCGGTAGTACCGCGTCCACATCGGTAGTACCGCCAAAAACTCCACAGCGGTAGTACCGCTCTCAGAGCGGTAGTACCGCTCCAAGTGGTAGTACCGCTCTCAGAGCGGTAGTACCGCTCTCAGAGCGGTAGTACCGCTTGGGTGTTTCGGCCGTAGTACCGCTGTGCGTCTGGGCTACTTCCGCCTCGATTCTCGAACGAATTTTTCGTGTCGGGTTTTGCGGCACTAAGGGAGGTAGTAGGGGCGGTAGTACCGCTCTAAGCGGTAGTACCGCCCTTCCCTAGCGGTAGTACCGCCCTGGCGACAGGCCCTGGGCAGCGCGGCAGTACCGCTGGGTCTAAGCGGTAGTACCGCCCGGAGCGGTAGTACCGCTCTTCCCTAGCGGTAGTACCGCCCTAGAGTCAGGGCCCCATTCAGCGCGGCAGTACCGCTGGGTGGAGCGGTAGTACCGCCCGGAGCGGTAGTACCGCCCGGAGCGGTAGTACCGCCCGGAGCGGTAGTACCGCCCGGAGCGGTAGTACCGCCCTTCCCCAGCGGTAGTACCGCTCTGTGCAGGGCTGGTAAGTGGGATAACGGTTGGATTGTTCTTCCCACTATATAAAGGGGTCTTCTTCCCCAAAGTTGACCTACCTCTTTCCCCCAAAGCTCCATTGTTGCTCCAAGCTCCATTTTCGCCCGATCTCTCTTCCTAGCCAATCAAACTTGTTGATTTGCTCGGGATTGGTTGAGAAGGCCCAGATCTACACTTCCACCAAGAGAAATTTGATTCCCCCCCACTTATCCCTAGCGGATCTTGTTACTCTTGGGTGTTGAGCACCCTAGACGGTTGAGGTCACCTCGAAGCCATACTCCATTGTGGTGAAGCTTCGTGGTGTTGTTGGGAGCCTCCAATTGTTGTGGAGATTGCCCCAATCTTGTTTGTAAAGGACCGGTTGCCGCCTTCAAGGGCTCCAATAGTGGAATCACGGCATCTCGCATTGTGTGAGGGCGTGAGGAGATTACGGTGGCCCTAGTGGCTTCTTGGGGAGCATTGTGCCTCCACACCGCTCTAACGGAGACGTACTTACCCTTAAAAGGAAGGAACTTTGGTAACACATCCTCGTCTCCACCGGCTCCACTCTTGGTTATCTTGTCCCTTTACTTTTGCAAGCTTACTCGAGTTATATCCATTGCTTGCTTGCGTGCTCATTGTCTTTGCATCATATAGGTTGTCCACGTAGTTGCACATCTAGACAACCTATTTCATTGCAAGTTTTAATTTGTTAAAGAAAAGTCTAAAAATTGTTAGTTTCCTATTCACCCCCCCCCTCCGGTGGCGATGAGGGAGAGGAGAGGTGGGGGGAGGGCCGGCGGCGGGCTAGGGTTACGCCGCCCAAGTCGCCCCTGTGGGAGCGACGCGGGGGCCTGCCTGTCAGGGAGTTTTCTTCCAAATGAACAAACACATACGTGTGATTTAGAAACAAGTTAGAAGAACAGAGTGAGTACTGTATGTAACTCTGCTCTAAAGATTAACTTTTGACAATATAAAAACTCTAAAGGTCAAAGATACAATAGCTGCAGTAAAGCAGAAAGGCATGAAACACGCGATTTATTTTCTTCTTATGGGAAAAGTATATTTTTCGTCCCTCAATTGTTTCAAAAGTATGGAAATGGTCCCCCAACTTTGAAACCAGCAAATCTCAGTCCCTTAACTTTTCAAACCGGATAACTTTAGTCCCTTGTGTCGGTTGGGTGGTTTCGTGGCATGGTTTTAGTTGGCATTTTATCAAACACCTGTTGCGCGCCTGCCATATTTTTGAACCGTGGCGTCAAGGGTCCCACAGCAGGTCTACGATGTGCCCTTTGATGATGCCGAGGCCACGCCCAGCACCCTGCCCGGCGTCATAGTACCTCCGATGAGTGGCTTTGCCCAGCAGGCCGAGAAGGAAGAGCTGGGCATGGCGGAGACCTCCATGGCGGCCGATCCTGCCCTTCTCTACCAAGTGCTGCTCCCTGTCCTACCTGTGCGGTCGCCGGTCGCTGTCCGTGGCCTCCTGGCCTGACCGCTCACACGATTGGCCATACGGTGTCGCCGCCTAGTCGTTGTCCAACAGGTGAGCAGGACAGCACCACCACGCCATGCTGGGAGGAGTAGCTGCGTACAACACGCGGGTTGCGATCGACCCGTCGCGAACTCGAGGGTCACCAGGGTGTCCATGGGCAACCTCATGCATGACACTATCGGCTGCTACTGGGCGAATCCACGTCTAGGCTCGACTTCGGCAGTCCGCCTTCGCTCTCTGCACTGTCGAGGTGCTCAAGGACATGCTTCTCGAGCTCCAGGCATATGCGGCTGAGGCACGGGCTCCTCTCCCGACGAGAGTCTGGGCGTGCAGGACGACAATTCCATCATCGACGACTGCCTTCGCTATGCTGGCGGGTTGTTTACGTGTGTTGCTTGTGAGCGTGTTTCAATCCGGCGAAAATTTATCTAGTGCGGAGCTAGCTAGCATCCTTGTGAATCGACCCAGCACCTCTACTGTACGCACGTGTTGTCTTCCCGCCGAAACCAAGCTAGCTTCGGTACTACATACGCAATCAAGACGGAAAGTGCTGCAACCGAGACCAGCTAGCTACGCCTCCTCTGTGTCGCCGGCGGCGCTCAGGCGTGATGCTATTGCCGGGACGAGCTGCTGATCGAGGAGGTACTGCAGCCCTCCGGCCGGCGCCCGTTGCCGCGAGTTCCTGCACAAGTGGTGGCTCCACGACGTGGCAGTCAAATTGTGTGACCAGGCGGTCAAACCTGTAATGTGTCTGGTTTTACTCAAAACCATGTCCACGTCAGCACAAAAACCACTCAAGCGACATGAGAGACTGAACTTAACCGGTTTTAAAAATTGAGGGACTAAGATTTGCTGGTTTGAGAGTTGAGGGATCATTTTTATTTTTTTGAGAGAATTGAGGGACGAAAAATATACTTATCCCTTTTCTTCTTTATCATGAAGTAAGAGTCAAGCTGGAGGTGGAGTTCGAGGCGGCAGCACTGAAAATGAAGCTGCCATCAGTTTGCACATGAAGCGGCGTAGTAAGATCTGAGGTGCTCGACAAATTCGTCGATGTACCTATCGTGAAGTTCCGTATCAGCTACTACCGCCTGCATCTTCGCTGCACCTGCCACGAAACCCCTCCTGGCCTCTTCGTCAACCATGACGGCCCGGACCGCTGTCGCGACGCCGTGGCGGTCGAACGACCCGTCGTCCTGATTCCTCGCCACCTGCAACCCCACCTTCTTCGCCTCCATTTGCCGCGCGTTCGGCCCTTGGTCGCCGAAGATGGGCAGCATGACAAGCGGGTGCCCGAACATGAGGCCCTCGATCAGTGAGTTCCGGCCGCAATGTGTCAGGAACCCGCCCACGGCCGTGTGCCCCAGGATGTTTACCTGAGGAACCCATCCCGTGGTCACCAGCCCCTGGCCGCGAGTGCGCTCTTGGAAACCAGGAGGAAGCATGTCCACGCCATCGTCGTCGAGTACAGCGGCACCGCTAGGCTTTCTCAGGGCCCAGAGGAAGCGCGTCCCGGCGAGCTCCAGCCCGAAGGCCAGCTCGTGCACCTGCTCCACGCGCAGCGGCACCTCGCTTCCTAGGGCGACGTAAACAACGGAGTCGGGAGGCTGCGCGTCCAGCCAGCGCACGGTGGCATGCTCTGCTCCTTTGGCAGCGGCACGGCGGGCTCCGTCGGCTGACGGCGGCAGAAGGCCGAGGGGAACGACCGGCTTGCCGAGGAGCGGCGCCGCCAGTGGGAAGGACTCGGGTTCCCACTCGATGCAGCTCCGCATGGCCGCGACGGTGCACCTGTCTTTTGTCAAGTTAAAGCGCCGGATGATGGACATACCCGATATGCCATGGTTGTTGTAAGCCGGGTCCATCACCTCCTGCTCGTAACGGGGAAGATCACGTGCTCCACGGTGCTCCGGCGGCAGGTGGGGCGCGGTGGCGATCAACGCAGCGGTCGGGAGAAGCATCGCGCATGGCACCTGGTGCTCTAGGGCGGCGGCGGCTGCCCAGTGGTGGAAAGAGTCGGCGATGATCCAGTGAGGCCGCGTGGTCTCGTCGGCGCACGCGGCGGCCAGGAACTCCGCGAACGGCGCGGCGAGGCCGTCGAAGGCCTTCCAGTGGAGCTCGCGGTCGTCGTCGGGGACGTCGTTGGTGGACTCGGCGCCGTCGGCGAGGTCGTCGACGCGCGGGAGAGGGAGCGCGACGAGGTCCACGCGCGGCGCCGCCGCGGGGCGCAGCGGGAGCGGGAGGCGGGCGAGATTGCGCGGCGTGGAGACATAGGACACGCGGTGGCCCCGCGCGGCGAGCCGCTCGGAGAGTTCCAGGTACGGGAGCATGTGGCCGAATGCGAGCCACGGGACGATCACAATGCGCAGCGGCGAGGATGAGGACACGGCGTCCATGGCGAAGAGATCAGGAGCGTGGCTAGAAGAACCGGGAGGTTAGCTTTGTGGTGCCCAGTGCTCTGCTCCGCTCACACGGTAGTAATATTTGTTGGCTCGGCGTGTAGCTATTGTCGATCAACGTTTATACGTACATTCCAGTCCACTGCAGTACGTAGGAGTGTGCAACTTGGCCTCACCGTGCGTGTTCTGCACGGCAAGTACATGCATGGATGGTCATTGGTCAATCTCTCCACGTGGACAAAGTGTAGAAATGGTTGTCAGAGTCTGGATCATGCGCATATAAATGAGACTGGATACGTGTCTTATGAAAAGGAAGTGAGGTCCTCCTTGGAAAAAAATGCTAGACATACAAATAAATACATAAGTTTACAAACTCTTTTTATCTACTACTCCCTCCGTCCTTTAAAGAGCGTACTTCCAACTTTGTTGGAGGGTCAAACTATTTCAAAGTTTGACCGAGTTTGTGCAAAAATATATCAATGTTTGTGAAATCAAATAGGTATATGATGAAAGTATATTTTATCACAAATCTAATGCTACTAATTTGATGGCATAAATGTTGATGTATTATTATATAAACACGGTCAAATATAAAAAAGTTTGACTTTCCAAAAAAGTTAGAAGTACACTCTTTAAAGGACGGAGGGAGCTGCCTCCCCACCTATTGACCAATTAAGTTAATCCTCTTTAAAAAACCATGCAACTCATTTGTACGTGTAGCATTACTGATTCTCGATAATCCGAATAGTACAAATGCCGTATGCTAATGAATTTCAAAATAGTCAAGTATGTTACTTTCATTCTTGTACAGTCGTTAGACAGCACCGTAGCCTAAACGCCACGTGTGTGTTTTTGTTCATTCCATTCTTGCAAGGAAAATACTCTTATGTAGACTTTTTAGATGATAAATCTATTGTATACCAAAAATAAATGTCGGGTTAACCAGAAAAAATATAGAAAATCGAATTAAATTATAAACATCCAACCATTGATTTTATTGAAATTTTAACACCACCCTTGATCGAGGTAATACTTTTACCAACTGAATTCGTAGCAGAAGTCTCAACATCAACCCTCCGTGAGGAGTCTCCACCTCAAATGTGCTTCGTTTACTGCTCTAGGTCACAGTCTAGCAGACCTAGATGTCTTCCTAATCTTCTCTCAGCATTACTTGCAACAACGTTGGTTTTCTCGCTCTCGAACCATTGTTGCCGAGACCGATTCAAACTAGCCACAGTGGGTGTAACTTCAGCAGTAACATCGAGTCCAACTCAGCAAATTTGCCTATGTGGCAGTGAGTTAATGATGAGAGAGATACTTATAGTAAGTTAGCTAGTTATTGTAACATCACACCACGGAGATCATAACAACAACTTACAGGCTCATCGGAAAGTTTGACAAGGGACTAGATAGCTTGAGAGTGGGATTTGCTCCTCCGACGATGGAGAGATATTCTTAGGGTCCTCTCGGTGTGACGACATCCATCATCGTCTGGCCAGACACATGTGACTATGTCACGGGGATGTCGGAGCACGACAACGAGAAAGAAGAATAAAACCAGTAATGAGGATAACGGTATAGTGAGCATGTGATGACTCAGGAGGATACCGATGCATCCTGGGTTTTGTGAAGTATCCCGAAGCAAACGGAACACTACATGATAACCAAAAGTTCACTCGAATATGGGCGTCCACTGTTCCGCTATCGGTCATTTAACGGACGGTTTCGTTCATGTCTACGAGTTACTGAACCTACGGGCTCACAAGATTAAGGCAATCACGATCTACAGAGTGTTAGTGGGACGGTAGTGATGATAATATATTTGTGGAATTGATTCATAAATATTTGAAATAGTTTCAAGAGGATACGAAGCGTTTCGGGGTCACCGGAAGGGTTTCAGAGTTTATCGGGCAATACCGGGTATTCCCGATAATTAATATATAGGTGGAAAATGTTTTTGATGATGTTAAATTATATATAAAATGGTTTAATAATTATTAGAAGGCTTTTTATTAATTTAAATATCAACGGGCCTTAAAAGACCAAGAAGTGGAGGAAGAATTGGGTCACCGAGGCCTAAGAGGGGGAGGCGCCCCCCTTCCCCCTTTGGCCGACACAAGGGGAGGGGAGTCCTTCCCCTCCTCTTGGCCGCCCCATGTCCCCTCCAGCCTATATATACATGAGATACTGAGCTCTTTTGGATACGCAAATTTTGGAGCCTCCTCTAGTTCATCTAGCCCTAGTTCTAATTGGTCCTAGCTGACTAATTAGAGATTGGTCTAGTTTCTCTAATCCTCATAATTAGAAGCCTAGTGTGGTTCTAATCTCCTCCCTCCAATTCTCCGGCAACAATTAGCTTTGGATGGTGAAGCGCTGCTGGATCGTGAAGATTGTACGCTTGCAACCAAGTAGATAGGTCGTGCTTTTCGGGTCTGTTTGGATAGTGTCCACACTAAGTCGTGCCTGGCCTGGAGTGTCCCTGAAATGTGCCTGAAGCCTGTTTGGTTGATGTCCTGAAAAAGTTGTTGCTAACCTGGCCAGGTTACCTGACATTTTGTTTAGGCTGGAATCTGATCCAGGTAGTGTGCTTAGCCTCGACTAGGATGCGCTGAGAAAAGGACACCTGGGTAGCTGCCTGGGCACTGTTTTCCTGCCTCGTTGACATTATGGGCCTTCAATCACCTTCGACCATGCTAGTAAATTATTTTAATATTTCACCAGGCCAAGCCACGAACAAAATAGATATTGTCCAGGCCAGCCACACCAGGCACAAAAGCAAGGAACTACCAGGCTCCACACAGGCAGACTCTTTACCCAGGCATGAAGCTCAGACCTCCAACCAAACATGCCCTTTGTCTTCGGTTCGAGGGACTGTTTGTGGGCGTGAAAGATGAGGAACTAGCCAGACGAAGAGCCCAACACACCACACATAACACAGATCTACATCCACGTTCGAAAATCATTACCTAGACAATGAACAACCAGAAGATTAGTTGTTACCTTTGCAATTTTCTTTTCCTTCTTGTAATTTTGAGCAAGCTTTGTACTCTGCTTCAAGGGGAGTTTTACCTAGAAGGTTTTAATGAGACATCTACTAATAAAGCTCAATATTTATTCATATGACACTTTGTCTCTTTGATATTCTTTTTGTATTTCTCAATATTTTTCTCTTAATTTAGTTTTTCCTGAATTAAAAAATAAAAGGCTCGGATTGCTGAAATGGCCCACAAGGCCGAAAAGTAACACCGGCCGGCCCGCGGCTGTGCCGTGCCGGGCCGATCCCCATGGCCGGACCTTCGGGCCGTCACGGCACAGCCCATTTACAAAATGGCCGACACGTCCATGCGCGCCGGCCCATGCCCACGTGGCCAGGTTTGTTGCGCACCGGCGGCCGGCCCCACCCCCGTACCTCTGGCTCGATGGCATCATCCCCGCTTCGTCCCCTCACGCAACCACCCTCCGCCCGTCCAATCCACCTCACAATCCCGCCGCCGGCCGGCGCCATGTCGCCCCCTTCCACCCCATTCCCCTCCACGGCCTCGCTGCTCCTCGCCGGCAGCAGGCTCCCGCGGCTCCAGATCCAGTCGCCCCGCGCCCCCACCAAGCCCCCGTACCGCTCCGCCTCCCCCTCCCCCTACCGTCCGTGGCTCCGCGGCGTCGCCAGGCGCCCCCTGCTCGTCCCCGCCTCCGCTTCCGTCCTTCCCCTCCGGGTGACGGCCGCTCCTCCGCTGGGGGTGGAGGCTGCGGATGAATCGGGCCGGCCGGCGGCTGCTCCTCCCCTGGGGGCGGAGGCTGAGGATGAATCGGGCAGCCGGCTGGCGGCTGCGAGGAGGGTCGCAGTGGCGCTTATCTGCAGCGCGCTGGCGGCGGTGTGGTGCCATCGGGCGCTTGCCGCGGGGGCCGCCGCGGCGGGCGCAGGCGCGGGGGCGTCCACGGCGGTGGAGGCGGCCGATGTGGTCGGCTGGGTGGCGCTGCGCCTGCGAGGGAGCTGGCCCACGGTGCTCCAGGTTCTGCAGCTGCTCAGGGAGCAGGGCCTTGTTCTCGCCCTGTTACTCGGTCTCTCCGCCTTCTTCTCCATGGCCGAGACCTCCATCACCACGCTCTGGCCCTGGAAGGTCCGCGAGCTGGCTGACAAGGAACCTGAGAACGGCGTGTTCAAAATGCTCCGAAATGATGTCACTCGCTTCCTCACAACCATACTCATCGGCACAACCGTGGTTAACATTGGCGCGACAGCCATTGTCACCGAGGCAGCCACAGCAATGTTTGGTGAAGCAGGTGTCAGTGCAGCAACAGGTGTCATGACTGTTGCCGTTCTCCTTCTTACAGAAATCACACCCAAGAATGTTGCAGTCCACAATGCCACAGAAGTTGCCAGGTTTGTGGTCAGACCAATCGCTTGGCTTTCAATCATCCTGTATCCCGTTGGGCGTATTGTTACAATTATATCCATGGGAATTCTAAAGCTTCTAGGCCTGAAAGGGAGAAGTGAGCCATATGTGACTGAGGATGAACTGAAGCTAATGCTCCGGGGAGCGGAGTTGAGTGGTGCAATTGCGGAAGACGAGCAGGATATGATTGAGAATGTGCTCGAGATTAAAGACACGCATGTCAGGGAGGTGATGACACCTTTGGTAGATGTGGTTGCAATTGATGCAGCCGCAACACTGATTGATTTCAAAAACCTATGGGAAACCCACCAGTACTCTAGAGTTCCTGTATTTGAGGAGCGCATAGATAATATCGTGGGAATTGTATATGCAATGGACATGCTTGAATACGTTGAAGAGGCTGAGAAGTTGAAGGACATCACTGTTAAGGAAATTGCACATATGCCTATATACTTTGTCCCAGATTCAATGTCCGTTTGGAACCTGCTGAGAGAGTTCCGGATCAGACAGGTTCATATGGCAGTGGTCCTCAATGAGTATGGTGGAACGATTGGTATCGTGACATTAGAAGATGTGGTGGAAGAAATAGTCGGTGAAATCTTTGATGAAAATGATTCAAAGGAGGAAATCCAGAAGAAAACAGGTAATATAGTAATGCTGGAAGATGGAACATTTGTTGTTGATGCAAACACATCTATAGACGATCTTTCTGAAGAGCTTGGTGTTAAAATACCAGAGGGCCATCAGTATGAGACCGTGTCTGGTTTTGTTTGTGAATCCTTTGGCTATATACCAGAAGAAGGTGGGAAAATGCTTGTGATACTCGAGAGGGATAAAAGCGAGGAGAATGGTGAATATCAGGACGAAGGATCTGATCACCAAGATGAACGAGAAGCAACTCAAGCTTATGAACTTGAGATACTCGAAGCTAATGCAAGAAAGGTCAGCAAAGTATGTTTCAAGCCAATAAGCAGCGAATGTGTAGACGTTGACAACAAGGGTGTCAACCGGCTGATGTCAAAAAAGATTATCAAACGGAAGAAGAAGGACTCTGGTAATTCTTCCGACAGTGATGATGACGATGAGTGCCCTGATATAACAGAAAATGGTTGCCCTGCAGAGCTAGTTTCATACTCAGATGATAGTGCAGAGCTAGAAGATTCTGGCAGTTCTATGGGACAAGGTAACAAAGTAAACAATTAGCACCATTGTACTACTGGCAATAATTACAGCTCACCAACCTCCTGCCCCTTGTTGCAACATACAACCGAAGAAGAGAAAAGAGGGAAACATAATAGGCTATGGAAAACAGCGACAGTAACACTGAGGAGACTGCGAAGACTAACAGCTTAGGACAACATTTCTAGTAGCAGTAGTAGTAATCTAGAGGTGCAATGAGGTGTCAGACATCAACTTCGCTGGGCCACAGTGAGCGAATCGCTGCCGAGCTGGATGGTTTTGCATTCCGAAGCAGTTGTGATGGCTGGCATGACCGGACAGAAGGCAGTAGTGCCACACAGAGGCCTGTATGGATGCAGCAGCTCTGGGTGGAAGAATCATCTGACCGGCGACTCTGTTCGATTCTGGTTTTGTTACTGACAATGTGAGTGAAGTCGGGCCCGTGAGGGGCGAGTATCTGGTAAAGCCTCACCTCCCGTTTCTCCTTGATCCTCTCCAGCTCGCTGAACCTTTGCTGCAGCAGCGCGATGGAGGAGAACATCAGTGTGCCTTCAGTGCCATGCACCCCCACTGATGATCGATGAAGAGACATGCGATGATTGACTGCTCTCGTGTTGAGTTGGTGGAGTTTTCGTTTGTCTGGCTACTTTGGTCTGCTTTCTGTGTGTGTGTGTGGGGCTTTAGTGGTGGCAGCGGGGAAGAGCATTGTGAGTGCTTTTTTAACCAGTAAGTTTTGTCGCGGTGCAGCTCGTAAAAATAAGTCAATTCCTGGATCCAACTTTTCATAACTGAATTGCATGATCTGTTCATTGAGTGCCTCTGCCATGTTCCTACTGTTATAGGTGGGGATTTTAGTTTAGTTAGATATCAATCTGATAAGAATAGTGACTCTCTGGATTTTAAATGGCGTGATAGGTTTAATGCATGGGTAGATATCTGGTCTCTCATCCACATTCACTTATCTGGTAGACAGTTTACCTGGGCTAACAACCAGAGAAACTTTATTACGTCTAGGATTGATAGGATCTTTTGCACCACAATTTAGATGCTATTTTCCCTTTATGAGGCTTGGCAGTGATCATGTCACTTTTTCTGTGGCAACCTGCCTATAACACCTAGGAAATCTAGTTTAAGTTTGAGAAGGTGGTTGGCCAGGACTGAATTCTTGAAACTATTAGGAAGCTTGGAATAGTCACTGTGATTGTTCCAACTATATAGATGTTTGGCAATTTAAAGTAAGAATGTTTAAGAAACCATAAATGGGTTGGAGTGCTAACATAGAGGCTGCAATGAGAGACCATAAGAAAAGTATGTTTGAGTATGATCTCTTAGGCCCTGCTTGGAATGGGTGTAAATCTTTACACCTGTATTTATTTTACAAGTGTAAATTACAGGTCACCTCTTGATTCCTGCCTGGAATGAAAACGACGGGCGGGGCTCTGTATCCTAAACCGGCCAGAAATGAGTTGAAACGCTAATCGAAACGGGGCCTTAGATATGAATCTGAGATATCCTATGTGTCTTATGTAGATCATGCTAGAATGCAGGAGGTTATTATAGAAATGAATAGCTTTTCATCTTTGGGTGATGGGAAGAAACTAAGGCTAGAGATCTAGGGACAGATATTTTCTCTAGGGGGATACAAGTACATCTTGCTAATCAAAGGGAGAGGAAAACCCTAATCCATGAACTAGAAGGACATGAGGGCCTTGTAATGTAACTGAAGTGGAGGACGATAGAGGTAGCAACTGATTACTACAAATATCTTGTTAGCTTTGAGAACAGACCTGACATATCATCCCTTGGAGAAGATTTCTTTAGAGAAGAGGAAAAGTTAACTTAAGGAAAGGAATTCACTTGATGCACCTTTCTCCGAGGAGGAAATGAAAGATGTTGCTTTTTATTCTTCTTCTGATGGAGCTCCAGGCCTTGATGGCCTTTCTTTTACAGTATGCTTTAGCAAAGAATATGGGATGTCATAGTGATTGCTTGGGGAAGCAATGATTTAAACTTGTTTGATGGCCTTTCTTTTACAGTATGCTTTAGCAAAGAATATGGGATGTCATAGTGATTGCTTGGGGAAGCAATGATTTAAACTTGTTTAGACTGAACTTTGTCATGCTTACTCTCATTCCTGTTTAGCGAGTATCCCTGTGTCACATACTCTCCTTTTTTAAACTCCTCACATGGGCTTTAGAAATGATCAACACTCAATTGGCCAACTGCATGCGGAATGATTTTGAAGGGCATCATAAATTACTGTAGATGCTGAGTACAGTAGCAAATACTAAACCCGATGTAGTGTGTTGTAAAGACACTTGTGCTTCTTTCATCTGGAAAGGTGTCATTTGGGCCTCCAAATATGTTAGATTAGGGTGTCGCCGGAAGATCGGTAAAGGTGACATGACCATGTTAGCAATGGGACTTGTATCATATTGCCATTTGCCAATGAGGTTAATACAACTATACAGGATGTCTCAGATGGCCGCCAAGTCAACTGTACTTTTTCGTAGGAGTTTTACCCCCGAAGCCTATACAACAATGTCAAAACCTAGAAAACCTACCTGTTAGTAGAGCATTAACTTTTCATTACATGGGAATGAGATTATCTGGCAGTATGAATCGATGGGTGTTTACTCTAGCTCTCTCTATAAATTTTTGTTAATTTCAGCAGAGTCATATCATACCTATCTACCTTCCTGCTGTTTGGAAACTGAAAGCCCCTAAACTTCATGAGTTCCTGTGGTTATTTCTCAGAATAAAATTATGACTAGAGACAACTTGAGCAAGATGCATATGAAGAAACCACTTGAAATGTTTTTTCTGTAGGAACTTGAATCAGTGCCCCACATATTCTTTGAATGGGTTGCTGCCAAAGTAATCTGAAACAGTAGTGAAATTGGCATCAATTCGTTGCACCTACAGCGGAGTAAGATCTGAGCTGCTGTACAAACTGGTCGATGTATCTCTCATGCCGCTCTGTATCTGCTACCACCTCCTGCATCCTCGCTGCGCCTGCCAAGAAGCCCCTCCTCGCCTCTCCGTCAGCCATGACGGCCCGGACCGCCGCCGCGACGACACGGCGGTCGAACGAGCCGTCGTTCTCGTCCCTCGCCACCTGCAGCCCCACCTTCTTCGCCTCCATTTGCCTTGCGTTCGGCCCCTGGTCACCGAAGATGGGCAGCATGACGAGCGGGTGCCCGAACAGGAGGCCCTCGATCAGCGAGCTCCGGCCGCAGTGCGTCAGGAACCCGCCCACGGCCGCGTGCGCCAGGATGCTCATCTGGGGAACCCACTCCGTGGTCACCAGCCCCTGGCCACGCGTGCGCTCTTGGAAACCAGGAGGGAGGATGTCGGCGTCGACGGCGGCCGCGCCGGCGCCGCTGGGTTTCCTGAGAGCCCAGAGGAAGTCAATCCCGGAGCGCTCCAGCCCGAGGGCCAGCTCGTGCTCCTGCTCCATGCGCAGCGGCACCTCGCTCCCCAACGCCACGTACGCCACCGAGCCGGGCGGCTGCGCGTCCAGCCAGCGCACGGTGGCATGCTCTGCTCCGCTGGTGGCGGCACGGCGGGCTGCATCGGCTGAGGGCGGCAGAAGGCCGAGAGGAACGACCGGCTTGCCGAGGATCGTCGCCGCCAGCGGGAAGGACTCGGGTTCCCACTCGACGCAGCTCCGGATGGCCACGACCGTGCACCTCTCCTTTGTCAACAATAAGCGCTGCATGATGGACATACCCGACACGCCATGGTCGTTGTAAATCGGCTCCCTCCCCTCTCGTTCGTAACGGGGAGGAGCGCGCGCTCCGTCGTGCTCCGACGGCTGGCTGTGACTAAGCACGGTGGCGATCAAAGCCGCGGTCGGGGGAAGCATCGCGCACGGCACCCGGTGCTCCAGGGCGGCGGCGGCGGCCCAGTGGTGGAAAGTGTCGGCGATGATCCAGTGAGGCCTCGTGGCCTCGCCGGCGCACGCGGCGGCCAGGAACTCCGCGAAGGGCGCGGCGAGGCCGTCGAAGGCCTTCCAGTGGAGCTCCCGCTGGCCTTCCGGGACGTCGTTGGTGGACTCGGCGCCGTCGGGGAGCCCGTCCACGCGCGGCAGCGGGAGCGCCACGAGCTCCACGCGCGGCGCCGGCGGCGGGAGGCGCGCGAGGTTGCGCGGCGTGGAGACGTAGGACACGCGGTGGCCCCGGGACGCGAGCCGCTCGGCGAGCTCCAGGCACGGGAGCAGGTGGCCCAGCGCGAGCCACGGGACGATCACGATGCGCAGCGGCGAGGATGATGGCCCGGCGTCGTCCATGGCGAAGATCAGGAGGTAGCTAGCTCGTCCACTAGGTGGTGCGTGGCCTGGAATCGGGAGCTTGGTGGTGCTCTCTGTTCGGGCTCAGTGCTCTGCTCACGCGGTGGGCTGGGCGAAATGAGATTCCGTGTATTTGTTGGGTAGTGTCGACGCTTACTTTCCACGCCCGGCCGTAGTGGTCAAGTAGGACTCTCTACTCGGCCTCACCTTCAAGCGGTAAATCTTGTTCTTGCATTTTACTTATTTATTTTATTAGTCTTTTGGACGAATGTTTGGGGGAGTTGTTTTTATCGACTACGAGGTGCTATTGTCGATATTCCGGTCATTTTGAAAAACATATTTCAGTCATTTCAGAAATGATTCTAACAAATCAAGAAACAAATTTCACTCTTTTTAAAACATGGTTTCCCTTGTTTCGAAAACAAATTTCACTCATTTTAACACCGATTTCACTCTATTTTAAAGTTAAATTCACTCATTCCAAAAACTGATTTTACTTGTTTATAAAAACAAATACACTCAATTCAAAAAATAGATTGGAACCACACAAAAATCAACCTGAAGGTTTTTATGCGAGGAGTTTGGTTGTATAAAAAGTTTGAGAAATCAGAATATGGGTTTAAAAGACATAACTGATTTAAGTTAGGAAAGGTGGAATAAAAGGGTGGATTTGTATGGAAGAGAGAAGAGAGAATGAGGAGCGCATGCATGCAACTCTGTTGTAGGCCTCTTTTGGTTTGCAGGAATTACGTAGGAATTTCATAGGATAGGATTACTATAGAAAAAATTCCTTTAGAGCCTTTTGATTGGTAGGAATAAAATCCTATTTCTATGGAGGAATTATTCCCATCCTCCATATTTCATAGAAAATAAATATTAGCATAGACTCAATGAAAAAAGTCCTATGTTGTGAACCAAAGGACATCTCTTTTTTTATTACAATTTAAGATACATGTCATCTTTTTTTCTATCACTATATGTTCCTTCGTTTTTTATCCTATGAACCAGAGGAAGTGGTAGTGTCTCACAGGAAGTGGTAGACCAGAATTTTTGGGGTCCACCACGGGTGAAACGCTAAGTGGCGACTGTAGGGCGATTGCGAGGCGATCCCCTGACGGTGCTAGGGTTAGGGTTTTGTCGTCGGGGGTGGTGAGATTACGGTGGTGTCTGGGGCGGCGACTGCGTCTCCCTCAGCACGGACTGGTGTAGTCTTCCTCCTCCAAGGTGCGGAGCCATGGCGGAGAAGGCGACGGTGCAACCTGTGGAGATCCCGGTGTCAAAGGCAAACCCGGCGGCGACAGCGACCCCGGGGAAAACTGCGAGTAGGGGTTCTTCTAGATCCCCGATCACATGCAAGACGCCGGATCTGATCGCAAGTCTCTCCGCTAGGATGGGAGGGATGGTTTTGCTGGACAAGGAAGCGGAGGGTTTCGTCTTCAAGGAACCAGATCAGATCCTGCCCAAGAACATGAAGTGGTCATCGGTGGGTAAGGCTTTCTTCCTGCGACCGCTGAACAAGATGGTGCTGGAGAAAACGATGCAGAGGGCTTGGGGACTCCATCACGAGGCACGGTTCCGGGACATGGGCGACAATGTCTTCGTTGTGCACTTTGGGAGCGAAGGAGATTGGAGACATGCAATGAATAATGGACCATGGCAATATGATTTCAATGTCCTGGCCCTGAAGGAATATGAGAACAATGTCCGACCATTAGAGATGGTTTTTGATAGGATAGATGTGTGGGTTAAGATCTCTGATCTCCCACCTGGCAAGAGGACGGATGCTTTCGGGAAGGCGTTAGGCAACTGGCTTGGTGAAGTGGTTAAAGTGGACGTGGACAAGGACGGGATAGCTAGAGGGAGCCAACTGCGTGTCAGAGCAAGGATCATGCTGTTTGAGCCGTTGGTGCGGGGTTTTTTGCTCAAAAACTCTCAGGAGGACAAAGTGGGTACTTGGTACGATTTTCACTATGAGAAGATCCCCCACTTCTGCTTTGAATGTGGGCGCTTGGTGCATGAACACGGAAGATGTGTCCCTCCGGTTGATAAGGTTGCACAATGGGGGGGCTGGCTTAGAGCATCACCGGGAAGGAGCACTGGCTCCAAGACCGATGTGAAAGGAGGGAAAAACAACAATGCCACCGCAAGCAGCTTTATGAGTTCACAATCTGACGGAAACAACAAGGAGCAGGGCAGCCATGCTCGCTCTCGAGACGTTCCAGTGAAACGTAATCTAAACGCCGAGTTCGATCGGCCGGGGGACGCCCGCACTGGTGGGCAGAACCGGTGAGAGAGAGGGATAGTTATTTCCCCAAACAAGGAGAAGCATAGGGGGGCTGGCCAGAAGAACGAGAGCTGAGACATGAGATTGAGAGGAAGAAGGAGAGGGATCTCAGGGAACAAATCAAGGCTCAACAGTGGCAAAGGGAGTATGAGAGGAAGCAATATGCAGAAAGGAGCCATTGGGAGAGGGGATCGTCGAGCAGAGGGGGTGAGTACGGGCAGGGGTGTTGGGGAACATTGCAGAAAATAAAAAAATTCCTACACTTTCACCAAGATCCATCTATGAGTTCATCTAAGCAACGAGTGAAAGGAGAGATGCATCTACATACCACTTTGTAGATCGCGAGCGAAAGCGTTCAAAAGAACGGGGTTGAAGTAGTCGTTCTCGTCGTGATCCTATCACCGGAGATCCTAGCGCCGAACGGACGGCACCTCCGCGTTCAACACACGTACGGTCAGCGTGACGTCTCCTCCATCTTGATCCAGCAACGGGAAGGAGAGGTTGATGAAGATCCAGCAGTACGACGGCGTGGTGGTGGATGCAGCAGAACTCCAGTAAGGCTTCGCCAAGGTAGTGCGGGTGGAGGACGAGGTGTAGCAGGGGAGGGAGGCGCCAAGACACAGGGTGCGGCTGCCCTCCCCCTGCCCTCCTTTATATAGGCCCGCAGGGGGGGCGCCGGCCCTGGGAGATGCAATCTCCAAAGGGGGGGGGGGCGGCGGCCTGGGGGGTGGAGTGCCCCCCAAGGCAAGTGGTGCGCCCCCCACCTAGGGTTTCCAACCCTAGGCGCAGGGGGGCAAGGAGGGGGGGGGGCGCACCAGCCCACTAGGGGCTGGTTCCCCTCCCACTTCAGCCCACGCGGCCCTCCGGGATAGGTGGCCCCACCCGGTGGACCCCCGGGACCCTTCCGGTGGTCCCGGTACAATACCGGGTGACCCCGAAACTTTCCCGATGGCCGAAACAGCACTTCCTATATATAATTCTTTACCTCCAGACCATTCCGGAACTCCTCGTGACGTCCGGGATCTCATCCGGGACTCCGAACAACATTTGGTTTGCTGCATACTCATATTCATACAACCCTAGCGTCACCGAACCTTAAGTGTGTAGACCCTACGGGTTCGGGAGACATGCAGACATGACCGAGACGGCTCTCTGGTCAATAATCAACAGCAGGATCTGGATACCCATGTTGGCTCCCACATACTCCTCGATGATCTCATCGGATGAACCACGATGTCGAGGATTCAAGCAACCCCGTATACTATTCCCTTTGTCAGACGGTATGTTACTTGCCCGAGACTCGATCGTCGGTATCCCAATACCTCGTTCAGTCTCGTTACCGGCAAGTCACTTTACTCGTACCATAATGCATGATCCCGTGACCAGACACTTGGTCACTTTGAGCTCATTATGATGATGCACTACCGAGTGGGCCCAGTGATACCTCTCCGTAATACGGAGTGACAAATCTCAGTCTCGATCCGTGTCAACCCAACAGACACTTTCGGAGATACCTGTAGTGCACCTTTATAGTCACACAGTTACGTTGTGACGTTTGGTACACCCAAAGCACTTCTACGGTATCCGGGAGTTACACGATCTCATGGTCTGAGGAAAAGATACTTGACATTGGAAAAGCTCTAGCAAAACGAACTACACGATCTTGTGTTATGCTTAGGATTGGGTCTTGTCCATCACATCATTCTCCTAATGATGTGATCCCGTTATTAACGACATCTAATGTCCATAGTCAGGAAACCATGACTATCTGTTGATCAACGAGCTAGTCAACTAGAGGCTTACTAGGGACATATTATGGTCTATGTATTCACACGTGTATTACGATTTCCGGATAATACAATTATAGCATGAATAAAGACAATTATCATGAACAAGGAAATGTAATAATAATCCTTTTATTATTGCCTCTAGGGCATATTTCCAATTGCACTAGAGTCAATAATCTAGTTACATTGTGATGAATCGAACACCCATAGAGGTCTGGTGTTGATCATGTTTTGCTCGCGAAAGAGGTTTAGTCAACGGATCTGCGACATTCAGATCCGTATGTACTTTGCAAATATCTATGTCTCCATCTTGAACATTTTCACGGATGGAGTTGAAGCGACGCTTGATGTGCCTGGTCTTCTTGTGAAACCTGGGCTCCTTGGCAAGGGCAATAGCTCCAGTGTTGTCACAGAAGAGTTTGATCGGCCCCGACGCATTGGGTATGACTCCTAGGTCGGTGATGAACTCCTTCACCCAAATTGCTTCATGCGTTGCCTCCGAGGCT